CACACACACACACACACACACACACACACACACACACACACACGCGCGCGCGCCACATGCACGGATTTGACCTTTTCCCACATGGCTATTTCCCTTAATTTCCCCTCCGAGGAGACAACAGAGCGGGGAACTTTTCTGCAGAGGACGCATGATTATATCTTGCATCCTGCCACACACAGACTCGCACACGCGCGCGCACACACAGTTCTTTGGAAAACACTCAACGAGTTTGAAAGCATTACGGCCGAAAATGTTAGTAGTTTTCAATGACAGCAGATCCAAAATAAAAGCCGTGTTCCTTGTCTCAACTAGTCTTCAGTCATACGTCTCAACCCGTCCCCTTATACCATTTTTCCGGTAAAATCATAGATACCGTAATTTCTGGACTATAGACCGCACCCGATTATAAGCCGCACCACTACATTTTTAAAGGAAAAAAATATTTTGTACACACATAAGCCGCACCTGTGTATAAGCCGCAGGTGCCCATATTGTAACATGAGATATTTACAAAGAAAGACGGGACACAGGCGGCCGTTAGAAAAGTCTTTGTATAAGCCGCTTCATGAAAATAAGCCGCAGAGTTGAAAGCGTGTGACAAAAGTCACGGCTTATAGTCCGGAAATTACGGTATATAATTTTTAGAACATATATAAAGTAAAAAAATGTTTTTTTAAAATATGTACTGTTAATATAAATGAGATTTTCAAACAGAGATGAAGCATTAATGAAAGCGACACAAGAGAATGTGAAGCGCTCATGCCCCGATCTTACAAAGCTTCAGACAACGTCGATGTAAGCTGTGGTGTTTGGACGCTTCCCGATGACGTAATGTCATCGCTCCTACTTGGCTCTTTGCCGGTGGAAAACACAAACTTGTTAAGCATTAACTAAGCACAACACTTGCCCCGTCACCGAACAAGCGCCATATTTTTATTTTTATTTTTTTGGTAGTGGAAAAGGGGTATTAGCGAGCAAAGGGGTATTTTTTTTTTTTACGTGGTATTTGGTGGAAGTAGTTTAACAAGCACTGGTCTATGGGATCCTTTGTGAGGCATGAAAATGTGCAAAAAGCCAAATCAACAGCTTCCTCGAAGAATGTCGGGCGTCATTCCCTCTGACAAGTCAAGTTCCTGAAGTGCGCGGCCACCGTTACTCGCACGTCTCGCCGCTAATGAAGTGATCCGTGTCCACAGCTCGCCTATTTACTCTTGCGTACATTGTGTGGGAGATGCGCCTTGATTTTTGGATTGACGGTCATGTGACACCTCAGCTGGTCTTTCTCTCTCTCTCTTTCTCTCCAGGTTAATGTGACCAGGGAGGACCCACCCAACGGAGAGCCCGTCTACCTGCGCAGCTTGGGAAAGGGCGACTGGTTCGGGGAAAAGGCGCTGCAAGGGTTTGTTGATGCCTAACGACGCTGCCTCTTTCCATTTCGATCTTCTCTCCGTTTCGATTTCTGTCACTGTCAGCCACATTCTCTCCCATTGCCTCGCACATCCTGCATTTATCCTCTCTAATTTGCGATCCATCTTCCGCCTGTCTCTTATGGTAACGCCATTCTGTTTATCTTTTTTTTTTTTTTTTTTCTTTGGTTGTTGCCAGAGCTCACTCCGCTTGACAGGTGCGAATGTTTTCAAATGCGACAGGCGGGCCGGGGCACTTGCTGATGGTGTTGAAGTGGAAATGCAGGGTTGGAGATGATGGCACTGGGAGACGAGCGCGCTGTTTCCAAACCTTTTTTTTGAAGCTAGCTCAGAGCTGGGCAACTTAAATGCTTGGGTTTGCAATTTTTTTTTTTTTGCTATCGGACATATGCACATAGGCCCACCCACTTCCTAACCAGATGTACGACAAAAATACAAATATATGCATATGCGCTGTTAATATATAAAAGTTTTCAGAATACATCTATAAAAGATCCACTGTCCTCCACCCAACAACAAAAGCAATTGAAACAAACCACCATTTTTTTTCCCAGTGAAAAGGGCTCTCTTGCATAAAAACAACCATTCAAAGATGGCAGAAAACGGCCGTACAGCAAACCAACATGAAGTTCAAAAACTAATTTGGTGCATCTTTTCCCTCTCCCACAAAATCCTCAATCAAAATTGTTGCAGTATTATGTTTGTCCTGCTTATCATTCCAAATCCACCCCAATAAAAAAAAAAAAAAAATCCGTGGACTCGCAAATATATTTTACTCACCTTTACACAATTTTTTTCAACAATGAGTGTTTTTGAAGAAATGTTGGTCACATAAAAGGAGTTTTTTTTTTTTCCCGAAAAGTGAGTTAATTAGATTCCTGATGTACCTTCTACCATTCAGTGGAAGAACATTACATTGTCCTGCTTGTCAGTATACGTCACTGACCTAGAAAGATGTAAACGCATACATAATTTCTAAGTATGTAAATCATTTTTGGACCTAACATCTAATTTTCTGTGGTTATTTTATTAATGTTTTTTTTTTTAAGAAAAAAGTCGACAGTTACATCTCTGGAGACGTAATTGGAGTACGCCTGCACGCACGCACGCACACACGTGCCCAGCAAAGCGCCAGATTGCGTCTACTTGAAGCCTCGAGTGCTCCACGGCCACTGCAAATACTCTGAGTCATATCATAAACACTTTTGTCTTGAAGAACACTTACCTGTAAGTACAATAAATAATATATTTTGTCTGGCGCAGATGGCCGCAGCCACGAAAGCTATTTTTACTCGGCCGGCTCTTTTTCCTGCTCGTGCTTTTTTTCTTTTTCTTTTTTTTTTTCCTCCCTTGATGAGGAAGTTAAAATGAAAGGAAAAGGGAGAGGGGTGGAGAAGCACATTTGAGAGGAGAGGAGTGAGGTCGTGAAGCAGGCAATTGCAAAAAAAGAGGATGTCGCCCTCTTGTGGTCAGTCATGCCACAGCAAAAATTAGCTCGCACGGGCATCAAATAATCAGTTTGAAGAGGAGGTCATCTTGAAAATGGGCTTTTATACTGTGAAAAAAAAAACATTTTAATAAATGATCACTGAAAAAAAAACGTGTTATAGCCGGTGCGTGAACGATGTATGTAAGATATAGCGGAGAACACTGTAATTTTATCCAAAAGTTAAACTAAGTTGGTGTGGGGGCTGTTCGTGTTTGCCAATGTCAGCATTATTTGCGTCTTATTAAAGAAACTTGATTGATGGTTCTGTAAAGTCCAGAAAAAAAGTAGTGCAATTGTAATGTGAAAAAAATTTCTCCGTTTCAAAAGCAAAAATGTTTGGCACCACTTTCTGCTCTGTGTCGGGGGTCTGACGTGTGAATGTTTTGCATCAATTCTAGTTTTAAATCCTACTTTGAAACCTATCTTTGAATCCTGAACCCAAGTTAAAAACCTTAATTTGAAACCCTAACTCTAGTTGCCAATCCTAGTCATCGTTTAAAACCCAACTTGGAAACCCTAACCCTAGTTCAAAACCCTACTTTGAAACCCAAACAATAATTTATAACCCTACTTGGAAACCCCAACCCTAGTTCAAAACCCTAATTTTAAACCCTCACCCTAGGTTACTACCTCACTTTGAAGCCCTAACTCTAGTTTAATACCCTATTTTCAACCCTAGCCCTAATTTAATACTCTACCTTGAAACCCTGACCCTAGTATAAAACCCTACTTTGAAACACCAACCCTACTCGCAAATCCTAATTTGAAGCGCTAACCCTCATTTTAAATCTGACTTTGACACCCTAATCCTAGTTTTAAAACCCTATTCAGCAACCTAACCCATTTTGAAACCCTAACCATAGTTTAAAACCCTACTTTGAAACCTGAACTATAGTTGAGAACCCTACTTTGAACTCCTAACCCTAATTTAACATTCTACAATATTTATTTATATTTTGGTTGACGATTGAGGATGTTTTTGTTGTCACGACATCCCGGTCGGTCATTTCCTTTCTGTTCCAAAGCCACTTTCCAGTGGCTGCGTGTGCAATTTTCTGCTGATTGCACCTGAAAGCGTTTTGCTTCAGCAAAAATAAAGTACCTCGACTATTCTTTGGGCAACACATTCTCGCCACTAGTATCTCACGGTGATGGCAAACTTGAATCTGATATTCAGTTCGGCAGTAGGAGCACGTTAGATTTGGTTGTGACTGAAAAATGTGGTCATACTCCACAAACGTGTTCCTGGCATCACTGCACACGATTGTTTCATATTCGAGGCGTGTTTTCATGACCACGGGCGACGATTTTAGCAACCGGTTAACCAGTCAGTTGTACGAGACAGCTGGCGCGGTGCAGATGGCCTGACCTTGGCCATATGTTACCGACGAATGACGCTTTGAAAGTTGACATGCACGACATGCGTGACGAGGAGGGCTCGGATCTTCGGTCGGTCGTTCCAAATTGAAATCTGACCCGGCAAGTGATGTGAATGAGATCCTGACAGCACGTTCTTGATAATGGATCCGGCATCTGTGCTACCGTTCAAAAAAAGATGAGATGACATCACGTCGTATTCTGTAAAAGTCTTGGGCCACCACTAGTTGTCTTACCTAATTACATAACACCACATTTTGGGGGGGGGGGGAATAGTAACTAGTAAAACAAACAGCAAGTTTTCCATTTGGGTTTGATGCGGCCATTTTATTTGTAGCCATTTTTCAAATACAAACTTGTCTTTGTCTTATGTTCAATATTATTCTTGAACACGGGGAGAATAGTCAACACAATGGCTCGCCGACATCACATGCCACTCCACCAGGCCCCGCCTCTTAAAGGCAAATACCTGGAAACAGACACTGCAATGCATGTTTTATTTTCAATACATTCTATTCGATAATACATTATGTTCCTACTGTATCTATTTATGACCACAAAAGAGCAAATTGTAAACAGTCAAAAATAACCCAATTATGAGTCAAAAAGCGACTGACCACGACTTGGGTTAATTTGAGGGTTTTTTTTTTCTTTAATAAGTTTTGTATGAAAACAACAGATTAGCTCAGCAATCACTTCCAAGCTGGTGATGTTGTGTCAGCGCAGGTGAAACTCCCAAGTGGGTGGACGCCGGTGCAGGAAGTGTTTTTAGAATGTGTTTAAAAAAATATTGAAAATATTTCACGAGTGTGGGAGGGACAAAACGATGAAACAATATTCTAAAATGAAACTGTAGAGCAGTGTTCTTGCACCATTATTACATAACGTGTTTTCCCAAAATGCAATTTCAAAAGAGGCCGTCCTGAAAAGATCATCTCATCGTTTGTTTATTCACACAACGTCATCTCCATGCCGCAATAAAGACACCGTGATTATCATCTTTTATTGTGCCGAGCGCCCCTTTTGTCCGCTGCGTCGTCTTGAGCCGGCCGAGCTTTGATGGCTATGTCTCGGCCAAATGTAAATGACGGCGGATGACGGCCATCTTGCAAGGCAGGCTTTTGATTAGCAAGTTAACTATGTGTCGGTGGATGAAAACCAACAGCCCCCCCCCCCCACCCACTCCCCCTTGCCCCCAAAAGGTTTCTCTTGACCAGCATTTTCATCCTTTCATCTGCGAGGAGAATCAAAGCGACTTCTCCTGCTAACGGCAACAGTGTTTGCGCGCATGAGCGCTTCTAAACTGCACAACGATTAGATTACATTTTATTTATGTTTTGCTCGGTCTTCCATATAGAACATCAAGGATTCCATATGTCATCTCTGTAGGTTCGGACTCTTGTTTGGATGTCGCTAACAGCATATGTCAAGAGGTGTGAACTTCTTGAAGATGAGGTGGATATCCATCAACGTCAATGCGCAGAGCTTACCCTTGACCCCTGGCTGTGCTGTTGTGTGTATTTATGTGACTGGGTGTAGAGTGAATAAAGTGTACACGTGTACCAACCTTGGCCAACAGGTTCAGAATGTAAGCAAGAAGAAATTGAAGCAAAATAATTTTGTTTTATGCATGGCAGAGAATGACAATAAAGGTTTTAGATTTTTTATTTTTATTTTTTTAAAGCAATGTTTAGATTTGGGATGAGTTAAGAGATTGTTGTGTTTGTGCCTCTTAGATGTGATTTGAAAGAATGATGTATTGATTACGCAAAATGGCATCGGCCGTCGGTGACAATTGATCACTGTGGCTGCCAGCTAAGCAAATCAGTTCATGAAATGAAAGTGAAAAAGAAGAAGTCACACGCGTTGCGGTTGACTTTGTGACAACTGAAATCACCTTAGCATTGACTACAAAAAAATCTGAAGTCGTATAGTGTTATTTCTATTTCTATAGGAATTAGAAAGCCAAACAAATCCACTGATTTCTTGTACATGACATTCAAGCCCAAGCCTGAAGCTCCCCTGAGGCCATTTTTCAACAATAATCCCACATTGCTGCTTTTCTAATTCGTAAATATACCCGAGTGTGAAGCGCAACAGCAAGTCAGCGTTACCCACGGGCTCGCACAATATTTTCGGAATGGAGCAGGCGAAGGAAGGAGTTAGGTGTTAACGCTGTCAAGCATTTCAAGTCAGCTAAGGCTTTAGCGCCAAATTCTCAAGCATGGGCAACACCCTCGTAAGCATCTGTCGGCAAGCCAGAGCTGTCAACTGCGTGTCTGACTTTTAACACCAGGGAGGAATAAAAAGAGTGCCGGAATAGTTTCTAACATTCTCAGGCTTTTATTGCCGCATCCTTTTAGTGTTTTCTTCTCTATCTTTCTTTTAAGACCACTCAAGCACTTGCTTCTGTTTTCACCCTTAGGAACAATATTTCATTTAATACCCGAATCACTTTGAAGCTATACTGGTTTGGTGGTGACCCTTTATTTTTTGCTTTAGGGGTCTGTAATGTTGGTGGACTAGCAGGGACACCTGACATGATGCTTTCTATCAGTTTTATATCTATCCATCTATCTATCTATCTATCTATCTATCTATCTATCTATCTATCTATCTATCTATCTATCTGTCTATCTGTCTATCTATCTATCTATCTATGACTAGCTCGATTGATAGCTAACTTGCTCGGTAGCTAACTACCCATCAAGCTAACTAGCACTCTGCTCTCTAGCTATGTAGATAGATATTATCTCTCTCTCTCTCTCTCTCTCTCTCTCTCTCTCTCTCTCTCTCTCTCTCTCTCACTAACTAGCTCGATAGCTAACTTGGTAGATAGCTAACTACCTGTCAAGCTAACTAGCACTCTAGCTAAGTAGATAGATAGATTCTCTCAACTCATCTCAGCTGTATTTATAGAACACTTTAAAAACAACCACCGCTGTATACAAAGTGCTGTACATGGAGCAAAAATAATTCAATAATGCAATAAAACAACCAATTAATAACAAAGACAGTAGAAAGCACAAAAGAGGAAAACTAAAAATCAAGTTCCATGCTGAGTCAAAAGCCAAAGAATAAAAAACAGTTTTAAAGATGGGCAGCGAGGGGGCTTGCCCTAACGTTCAGCGGAACGATCAGAGGGCGAAGCGTGTTTCAGCTTGATTGATAGATTGATTGATTTTCTGCTCCTTCCATTCTGCCGTGAAAGGCCCAAAACGTTCCAAGTATTTGGCAGTGGAGTAAAGTACAAATCACTTGTTACATGCTCATGTTGCCATTTGGCCCGCACAGCGAGGCTGCGTGCTTGTATATTATTTTTATAACCCTTTTCCCAGGACACTAGATCGCTGTCAAATTACCAGGTTAATTCCTGGCCTCCCCGTCAGTAATCAACACCGCCAGTGACTGCAAAAGAACATTCTTCCCCACTTTTAGCATCTGAGCTAGTATGTACATGCACCCCGGACGGCGTGTTTGTTCTGGGCTAATTAAAAAGCACCTCGTTTGTTTTCGTTGGCTTAGTGGCTGACTTAAGCCTCCGAAGTGTGCAAATGACGGATACGGTTGCGAACCTTGTCAACGCAACGGCACACTATGTTGGGGGCGGGTGTCATGAGACACAAATGAACCCTTAAGGTCACGTAGGCCGGATTCGTGCTTATGTAACCATTATTTTGAAACATGCTTCCCTTAGCCTTGTTGTGCATCGTCGTCGTCATGGCAATTAAGTGACACAGGCTTTCTTGTTTGGGGGGGTGAATGAGCTCCCAACAGATCGTGGATGTCATTAGCTGCCGCTCATCAGCGTCGAAAAGCAAAATGATGCACAGCACATGTGCAGGCCCAGTTTGATGTATTTGCGTCATTCGGAAAACCAAGTGTGATCTGCTTGTTTGCATTGAAACGATATTATGTAAGCGTTCAATTCAAAATCCTTTTCAGTTTACAGGCAGCTGGCACTTCATTCGACACAAACTAATTACTTCCAAGGCAGTTTTTTCTTTTTTGTTTTTTAATCTATGCTTTTGATTCACACAGTCAGATATCATCATAATCATCAGTCTAAAAAATGTTGATGTATTTCAGACGATTATTCAGTTATGATTGTGTTTTATTCAGTAATTGTATTTCACAGTATTACAAATTAAATGCAATTTTAGACTTTGTGACAAAATCTCCAATAATAATAATGATAATAATATATGATTGATGATACTCATTCTTTTATCAAATAAATATTGGCTTTAGTATCTACGTTCACCCTTGACCTTTAAAATTAACAATAAAATATACTACGACTCATTTCACAACATCAATTATATTTTATTGAATCATTTTCATGTTGAACACTGCAAATGTAATAAACTTTTAACCTTCTAATCTCATACCTGTGAATAAGGTCTTTGAAAAATTTTTTGGGTTGTGTCTTTGCTTGTGTGAAGCACATTGAGTTGCCTTTAAAATGAAAATAAAAGGACTTCTTCTCAAGTAGTTTCAATGCAATCTGGGAATGATGAGACTGTCTGCCAGGCACGTAAAGGCAGCTTTCTTGTCGTGTCCTTGTCTGGCACATATGTGGCATGAATTAAAAATGAGCCCGCTCCAGTTGTGGAGGGGACGCCCATTTTTCTTTTTTTTTTTCTTTTTGTGAAGTAGAGTGACAACTTCTTGCAGCAATCGTGTCAAATCGCAGCTGGTGCGTAACAAGAACTTTGATGAAAGTGAAACAAGTTATCTTCTTGTACTTGCCCTCAGTCTCCTTTTGAAAAAAAAAAAATCAATGTTTGAGTGTTCACTTTGGATGCTGGTAATCCTTCCATGTATAGGTTGCATATCTTAGTTATAGGTCATGTATAAAATAAAATTGTCCTGATCTGATCATGCGATCAGGAAATCGGGGCCCCATCACGAGACTTTCAGCTAAATTTTGAAATTTCTTAATTTCTAAAGAATAAAATATTTGATTTGTTCATTTGAGTTGAACCACTGCTGACTTACGGCTGTATAAAAAACAAATTGTAGCGATACTTTATTTAAAAAAAAACAAAAAAAAAAAAACGTTGGACTTGGGTGCCAAAAAAAAAAAAAATTGTTAACCGGACATCACTAGTATGCCAGAATCCAGTAGATACCAGACAGTGCCAAAACTCACGATTCACTTCCTTATTTCTATTTCACCCCCAAAAGAAAACTAAGCCCTGTGATAAAGTTGTCCATGTGGCCCCCCACTTACACAGAGGGGACCCTGATCCATCAACTGTTAAAACCGCCACTGGCCTTGATAAACACCTCCGTCCTGCTTTCAGCTCTCCTACGCGCCCAACGCCGATCAAAACTCACCAGCTGTGACCTTTATTCGTAGCGTACGGAATGTGTGTGTGTGGGGGGGGGGGGGGCGGACTCGAGGCAGGGTACGCGCCCGAGTGCGCCAGGAGGAGGAGGAGGAGGGAGTTGCAATGGACCATCATTGAAATAGGCTGCCATAAGTTTCGCAGAGACACATTGAGTGATGGACCGCACGCACTGGAGTGGAGCTGAGCCCCTTCAAGTGTCCAAATAATCGCCTGACGGGATGTCAATCCGAGAGTTGGCTTGTCTTTTTCGGCGGCGCGTTTTTTTTTCGGTTTAGTGTTTTATCGGAGGCAACTACGTTACCGATGGATTGTTGGAACACCGACTCGGAGGATTCGTGCGATTGGAGCAACTCGTCGGATGAGGAATGCCAATCAGATGATGGGTTGGACTTCAAATATGAGCAAGTGTCATGTTTGACGTTAACCGATTGCGCAACGTGTGACTCAGCTTCCGCATTTGATGATCAATTTACGGTCAATGGAAAGTGAAAGTTCTTACGTGTTCTATTGTGGCTAATTGTTCCCCCCCCCCCCCCCCCCCTTCTACAGGGAGGACATCAGGACTGCCAATGTTATTGCAGCAGAGGCGGTCACCTGCCTCGTCATTGATCGAGAGTGAGTATCCGTCAACTTTGACAATAAATCCTGACACTTTGATTTGTTGGTTTTAACCGTTTTAGTCGATGGAATCAATCAACGGGAAAGTGTGAATGCAGTGAAATAATGCGCAGTGAATGATAGCGATCAATGAACCCATTTCGTAATATTGGCTTAACCACGTTGTCAATGGATTATGCCCAACTAAACCGCGACCTACGGACAACATCCATCCATCCATCCATTTTCTGATCCACTTATCCTCACCTGGGTTGTGTGTGTGTGTGTGTGTGTGTGTGTGTGTGTGTGTGTGTGTGTGTGATCAAGGTTCCCTGTGGATGGAGCACGCTCAGAACACAAACCAATGTTTCAATGGAGGTATTCCGATGTGCGTTTATTGACCCGTTATCCGGGTTAGGAAAGGGGTAACTCAGGTGTCTTATTCAGGTTTTTCAAAACCCGAAACAGAACGATGACTGTGGTGTCGTCTGCGAAATTTATGAGTTTGACAGCCCGGTGCGTTGAGGTGCAGTCATTCATGTAGAGGGAGAAGAGCAGCGGAAAGAGGACGCATCCTTGGGGGGCCCCGGTGCCGATGGTGCGTGTTGATGATGATGATGATGATGATGTTCTTTTTGTAGTCATGAGTGACAAAGATGCTAAGATAAAACATACCGCAGTCAAATTCTTCCAGGAAAGTACAGGACGTGAAAATTATCTTTCCTTTCCAGTGTTTGTACCCATTTCCATACAAGGAGCGGATCAGATCTCTTGACGAAAGAACAATCAAATGATGCTCACGCCGATCCATCTTCTGAAACACGTTCATCTCTCATATTCCGCTAACCGCGGCGAGTTGCCTTTGTGCTCGGCTCATTTGCATGTAAATGTTTTGTTTTTTTTCCTTCTTAGGCCCTAAAGGAAAGTAATGCTTTGCTTTGAGGAGCGGCGCCGAGAGGACAGGTGTAGGAATTCAGAATACGGGAATAAGCCAGCAGCGAGGGGCTGTTTGTTGTTTTGATTGCCACGGAGCATAAGCGTATTCTTCATGTTTATTGACCCTGAAAGAAGCCCGACATCTGAGGGAACGGTTTATCCGAGGAGTGTTAAGTCTTGTGGTGGGAATAAACGAAGTGGACGAGGTTTACGGAGGGTGGGGGTGTGGGGGGGTGGGGGGGAGCTATCGTCTTACCAAGGGCCCAGCTGTGGAGTATAGCGGACTCAAATGAGCCTTCCTCGGAGCTAACGGCGCGGATAATGACGGAGTCATTTCGCACAGGTGATGACCGTTGCCTTTCGCTCTCTGCCTGTCGTCCAAACGCGTGTCCGCTTGTTTCTCAACCTGCAGAGAGAGCTCGATATGCGAGACTGCGTTTTTTTCCCCCCCGTTTTTTTCGTCCATGCACGTTTATTGGCAGAGTCCGCTGTGAGTGGAAACAAGCAGCGGGGCCATTAATGGGCGAGGCAAACGGCACAATTCGCGACACAATGCTCTCAGCAGATGTATGACATTTTTTGGTGTGACAGCTTAATGAGGCCTGAGTGGAATTGTGTTTTTGTGAGCAGATATATTTTTTTCTGCTCTTTTGAATTGTTTGAAGAGAGCGGAGCAGGTGGAAATGATGAAGCCAGGAGTGCAACTTGGGAGGGTATTATTTGCGGCGCTTGGGAGACGCTTGTGTGTTTTTCTTGCACAGACCTTACAGAGAGGTTGTTCGACTTGGTCTGTTGGTTCGACGGGTCGCTCGATTCTTGGTTATGAAGAGGCGTTGTTCGCCCGCTAATTCACCAAAATTGACACAAGATGGTGCCATCGCACTACTTTTATCTAAACACAGCTCCTCAACTCACTTTCACATAGTTCCTTCGCATCAGCATGGCTGCAAATGACTCCTTTTGTCTAAGCCAAGGTCCTCTCCTCACTTCAAACTAGTTCCTTAGCAGCAAGATGCCACAAAATGGGCACAAAAACAGAGAGATTCAATCTTGGGCTGTGATACGATTCAAGAGTAATACATTTTAAAGTGGAACGATTCAATTCGGTTTGATTGGATGCATTCACGTCATCTGAATCCAAAACCGATTTTTCAATCCAAATCATTTTTCGGTACACTCCAATAATGTGGTCATAAAACGTTCCATTCTCCTCCTGTAAATGAAGGTAAAGAATGCAATTCGCCCACTGGAGTTTCTTCATCGATCCAAGTCATACAGTCAAGACCTCAAGGCGGGTGCAAAGTCACTGGTTATTTGGGTCACTTGAATTAAAATCAGGTCACCTTGCAAACAAGTCACAGCTTTGTTGTCAAGTTTTACAGTCATAACAACTCCTGTGTGTTCTCAAATTGACGTCGCTTACGATGAGGACTGTCTTTTTTTTTACAGGCGCACCCAATGAATATTTGATGACAACTCGTCAGCCTTTCGTGTTGTCATCACCTGCACAAACACTGTTGACGCCAGCTCTTCTTTTATTGCAGTTCATTTAAGCACCTGATTGGAGGCTTGGAGGACGTGTCCAGCAAAGGCCATGAGGACGTCGACGCCAAAGCCAAGTAAGATACCCCGATTGACACTCATGTTGTATGTTATACTTTCTTTGCAAAAACTCTGATCCATCGGAGCAATTTTGACAAATGCCAGGAGTTGGTAGCCAGCCGTTTGATGAGAAACACCATCAAAAAATGTCCAACCGTCGAATGTGGCTCAAGGAGAGCTGACATTGAAGGCTCAAACCGGGCATGTCGTGAGCATTGCGCTCGGCCGGGCGGGAGCGTTAATGGACCGTTTGGAAAAAAAAAAAAAAGTTTCCTTTACGCGAGTATAAGGCATAAACTGCACCTTTAGGTCTGCCGCATAACAACAGATGGTTGAAAAGGGAGAAAACCGAAGAGAGGACCTGCAACACGGTGTTTCCGTCGCCATGGAAACAAGAGAATATCAATTCAGAAGTCATAAGGCACCCTCGGCTATGAGTTACGTGTGTAAAAAAAAAAAAAAAAAAATCTGCCTTAATAAAGATTTGATTAACACTGACGTAGCGGTGTAAATATGCCGTGTCACATATTATGAGCTGCGCCCAATATTTGACACCTATTATGATCACTAAAATATAAATTGATATAGATTAGGCAGTTAGAAATATTTTTAAGCACGCACACATATATGTATATATTTATATACAAAAAAAAAATATATATATATATATAAATATAAATAATTGCCGTTTTTGTGATTTAAAAATTATTTGGATTCAATTGTTCTTCCCCGAAGTCCCGTCAGCGACGTTTTTAGCTCGACCTTCCCCGCTTCCCGGGCCGCACGTGCATCACCGCTTTGCTGGAAGTACCCGCCCAGCCCGACAAAGCTCCACGGCAAGGAAAACCTGAGTCAGCATCCGGCGGTGATGGAAATGATCTTCCCCATTGGTTGCCTTGCCGTAAAGCTCCAGCTGCTCCCCGCTGTTCCCAGCGCTTTCCCTTCAAAGAATATCAACGTTGGTTTTGATCAAGCCGCCGCCGTTGGCTCAGCGGGGGTTTGCGATTACCTGAAATAGAAAGACGCCTTATTTTGTTGTTATGCTGCATGTTTTGTAAACATGCAATGCCACGTTTTGTTATTCTGTGCGACTTAGTTCCGACGTTATTGGGCTTTCGTGTCACATTTCAGAATGAACTTTAATGAACTTAATTTGACTTTTGACCCTCTCGAAACTTTGGAATGCAAATGTCCAACTGCTCAGTGTATACACTTACTTCGGATTTTGCCATTCAGTGCCTTGTTAGAGAAGAGCAAAGTTATTCAGAAACATTGAACAGTTGAACGGCGTATTCAATTTTATTTGAAAAAGTAAAAAAAAAAAAAAAAAAAAGTATGGAAAGGTCATAAGTGCATTTTAGAGACATGCTGAGAGAAAACGAAAGCACTGCAGAGCACAAACTAACTCTGAACTCAGGGCGCTTGTATTATATCTATGACCTCATCAGTCCTCCACAGTTTTTAGCACCCACAGGGGTGCTCCTCCATCTGTAGAGGAACATTTTGCCAGACAGCGCTTTGAAAAGATTTTGCTGTGTAACATTACAATGTACCATTCTACCTGGAAATAATGCGATTGTACATTGCCAGGGGCTAAGTTAAAGCATCATGGACTTACATTTTGGGCTTAGCTAAAAACCGAGCAGTGGTGAAATGAAAACCAATCTCTCTCCAGAAAGTTGCATGCATGTCACGGTTACTATGGTAACGTGTGTTGTCATTGTCTTCGGTTGCTAAATTGACCTTGGCTTTTCAGATTCTGCAAAGGGTTTCGGGATTCGGTTAGGTTTTGCCGTTCTGGTTAGTTTTTGCGATTCTAAATGAAGGTTTGCCAAGGTTCAAATCAGGATTGGGTTTAGGGTTTGGGGATTTGGTTCGTGTTCGGCTTTGCCTGTGGGTCTTCGGTTCAAGTTGGCGTTTTCATTAGTTATCAATGGGCTTATGATAAAGCTTGAGAGTTTGGCGCTCAAAGCAAACATGGTGAAGCAGCATGGAGCTGTTATGCTGCACAAAAAGGGAATAAGATTCAGTCCAGTTTAAAAACCTTTTTCTCATTCTTATTATTGAGCTCTTTTAAAGGTTTTTAACCATCTTTTTTTTTCTCAGAATCAGGATCATCTTATATTTATATAAAAACAAAAAACTCATCTTTGATTGTATGAGCTAAACTAGTATTCTCAAAGAGCAACTTTGACCAAAAAAAAGATGAGCCACATCAATAGTGTCTTTACAGAGGATAACTGTTAGTGACTGACCAACGACAGCTGCGCCAATGAAGCGTCACGCAAATAAAGTCACCGATAGTGCGGTAATTACAATACAATGGCAGTTGTGCAGATGGTGCAGATAATAGGCGCACCATTTAAAGTGACCACTGGCGCAGTCGTTGCAATCCAACGATGAATGTGCAATGGTGTAGAAAGTCCTTGAGCATGTTAGAGTGTCGAGTCCTGTGGAATATTGATCAATGACAATTATACAAATAGAGAGCCAAAGCTACAATAAACAATGCAGTCAGGCTATCGCACAGGGATGTGCAAAATCGGCAATCATTTGCACGGTGCCACAATGGAATTTTGAGTCAAGTGTGGAAAGAATTGATGGCAAGAGGGACATACAGATCAACATACTGTAGCGTGCCTAATGGAAGGAGCTGGAAGAGGTGGTGACCAGGATTACGAGGGCCCGAGAGGATTTTGCCCGCCCTTGTCTTGATTCTTGTATCTTGCAAGTACATTCTTTTAGCTATCTTATATTTCAGTACTTAGTTTCAGTTTCTGTGGTTATTTTTGTTTGAATGTTTTCAAATGTTCTTGATAGGGTTAGTGTTAGCATTAGCAAACAAAATGTACAAAGTAAAATGGGTGTTGAAACGTAAATTTAAAAAACAAGGAAGTGTTTGCTTGGTTTGGGTTTATGCTACGGTGCCTTAAGTTTTATGTTAGCGTTATGGTTGGTTGGAGTTAGGGCCAGACATGGCAAATGTGGAACTGATCTAAAACTGAAGCCAGTCTTGTATGGATTTGTGGGCTAACTGTGTGATGGAAGCACTTGAGCTTTATTTCAAGGTTAGTTCTTATCTCTTTTGGGTTTGATGTATAGCTTGTAGGCCTTGTGGATCCCGCCGCCGGCCTCATATTCTTCGAGGGCTTCAGCTCTCTGGAATAACAACAACTGCTTTTTCACCCCCACCGCAAAAGGAATCCACGTACGCGTAAGAATGCACTTTTAATCTTGGCCAGACAACATCGGCTGTTCTCTGAGGTTATCAGTTGATCCGCGTTAGTCTACCGCAGACATGCAGATCAAGATTGATAGCTTGCCGTGCACCGGTTGTAACAGCGCAATGTTGCCCTCTGCAGGTCATTTATGGAGACGCTTTTGCTGGTTGGGCCTTTGAAATATTAGCCGATGTCTGTTCGTGTAATTGGGTGTGCAGTCAATCATTCTGACATTTCACAATGAGACCGAAATGGCCTTTTTGTTTGGGATTTGAATTAAATATTTTTTTTTTCTGGGCCACTCTCCAGATGATGAAGAGGAAAATCAAAAGCTCACATGTGAATAATCTCTTAAATTTGTTCATTCAAAACACTGCGTGAAATTCAAGTTCCAATTTCTGCTTTGATCAGTGCGAACAACTGACGCACAGGTTTACAAACGCCCTTACATGTTCCGAGTGACCCGCAAGGAGCCTGAGGAATACTAAGCCCGCTGATCCGAATCCTGATCTGACGAAACTCGATCGGGATCAAACAATAATCTGAAACACACGGGCGGCGTGAGGGGATGAGGGACGGACACGTGGAAAGAATTTCCGCACAGGTCGAGCGGGCGTTTCGGGTGCCAGATGTCCAGCGTTCTTGTTCTCTCTTGCCCTAATAATGCCTGCGAGCTGAGGAGACTTGAGTCTCTTTCCGAGCAAAGTGTTTTGTGGTGTTCGTACACTCCACATCCTTGAGGATAGATTACTCCCAGATAATCCGCTGAGATTTGCAAACAAATGAACTCCAAGGCAAAATTGGAGGTGGATTATCTTGTCTTTCATCATCCGACTCATGTCTAATCCCGTTCCTTGTCTTGTCTTTTCTCCCCTCTCGCCACCTCTCCGTCCTCCTCCTTCACACCATTCGCAGGTACGAAGCCGAGAATGCTTTTTTCTTCAATCTCAATCTGGCCGATTTCAACATCATCGACACTCTGGGTGTTGGCGGCTTTGGCCGCGTGGAGCTGGTAAGGAGGGGAAGGTGTGACTCTCGGGTTGGGAATATGAATGACGCCATCTCGGCTGGCCGCGCATGCTTAAACGCTCTCCGTTTTCTTTCTTCCGTCGACTCTCTTCAGGTTCAGCTCAAGAGCGACGAGAACAAAACCTTCGCCATGAAGATCCTCAAGAAGCGGCACATCGTCGACACCAGGCAGCAGGAGCACATTCGCTCGGAGAAACTCATCATGCAGGAGGCCCACTCGGATTTTATTGTTCGGTATAAACGTCTCGGCCTTCAGTGTTCTATGCAATATGGCCGTCGTCCAGCCGTCACGACGGTGGACAGTTTATCAGGTTATCGGGTTACAGGTTATCATTATTGGTGCATGAAAGGGTTAAGCCGAGGCACATCGTGTTTTGAGTTTGGAAAACGTCACGGCACAGCACCAAAATAAAGGTGTCACAAAAGTCTTAATTTGCTCATAACATTATTTGGCGAGTCGGGTTGAACGATTTTTGAAATAATCTTAACTGCAATGTACTCCCACTTAAAAATTGCAATTGCGATTTAATTCGCGATGATCCTTTTCAAGGTCTTTTTCAAATTTATTTTCCAACAAAGTAATGAAATAATCTTGGCATAATATGAATAAAATGCTTTTTTGAGAGAAGAAATTGTACAAGGGTCCAGCGAAAAAAAACCCAAACATTTTTCACCTTGTATATTGGTTTACCAGTACATAGTGGTCGTGTAAAAAATAGGCCTACCTTCCTTCCAACATGATATTTAACGTCTATTTATAGTACATTAATTATACGTTGTTACAATTCCTGTCTCCTGTTTCCGATACGCTTGCAGCAAACCAGCTAAATAAGATCTTAGTTATAACTTATGATCTGTGAATTAGCCACATTAGCCGGCTAGCATTGGAAAAAGCCATTCGCTGCACCTTTTATGGGCCGCAAAAGGGCATGTTGTTTGGTATTTGCATGTCGTTGAGTCACCTCGTCTTGTAACGATTGTTTGACTGCAGGATGAGAACATTCTTTACGTGAATCCGGAAGTACAAAACTGGTTTGAGGGTCCGGATATTTTGACTGACTGGCAACACAATGAGATGACTGTATTTGTGTGTCACTAAGGTATTTGGCAGCCATTTTGAGGCCCATCTACTGTGTGTTTTTAGACTCTATCGAACGTTCAAGGACAGCAAGTACCTCTACATGCTGATGGAAGCCTGCCTCGGAGGAGAACTGTGGACCATTCTCCGAGACAGGTTTGCTGTTTTGCTACTTAATACCAGTTGATACGTGATCGCCTTTCATGTCAGTTCAAGTTTACTGTCAAACTAAACATAAAACTAAGATATTGTTTTCTGATGGGAAATGCCATAGAACAGTTATAACGCTATGAGCAACGGCGCAGCACGTGAACAGACAATATAACAGCACCTTAAGACATATATTCTTTATCCTCTCCAAAAAACAAAACAACCACCATAATGAATTAATCATGATGGCAGAATGGTTTAATTCTTTACATTCTACTTAACTATGTTATTATGTTTTTTTTCTCACCAAAAAAAAACAAAACATTCAGCATTCTTTTTGTTATATTTATTATTAAGGGAAGGCTGGAACAGATTAATGGCATTTCCATTCATTTGAATGGGGAAAAATGTTTTGAGATTCATCTAAAAATTGATTTGAGATGAAAAATGATTTGAGATGCATATTGCTCTTCCCAGAGGTTCATTCGAGGACTCGACGACCAGGTTTTACACAGGCTGCGTGGTGGAAGCCTTCGCCTACCTACATTCCAAAGGCATCATCTACAGAGACCTCAAACCGGAGAACCTTATCCTGGACCACAGGGGTTATGCCAAACTGGTAGGAACTCCTTCAAGATGCTCATAGTCCAGATTGTCTTTCCACGAGCTTAAAACTGTCTTCTCGCTTAGGTGGACTTTGGTTTTGCCAAGAAGATTGGCTTTGGGAAGAAAACGTGGACTTTCTGCGGGACGCCCGAGTACGTAGCGCCGGAGATCATCCTGAACAAGGGCCACGACATCTCCGCTGATTACTGGTCACTCGGAATCCTCATGTTTGAGCTTCTGACTGGCAGGTATCAAATTCTTGGGATCAACGCCATCTCCAAGGAAACCAAAACTCATCTTGTCTAGTTTAACACCTCTGGCTGTCTTACTAGCCCTCCGTTCTCCGGCCCTGATCCAATGAAGACTTACAACATCATCCTGAGAGGCATCGACATGATCGAATTCCCAAAGAAAATTACCAAAAATGCTGCCAACTTAATCAAAAAGCTATGCAGGTCAGCATTTTTTTGTTTGTTTGTTTGTTTTGGACTTTTGGACGTGTATGACGTTAGCGTGGCAACTCATGCGTTGTCTTTGCAGGGATAATCCTTCTGAACGACTGGGAAACTTGAAAAATGGTGTCAAAGACATCCAAAAGCACAAGTGAGCATACCAATTTTTTTTTTTTTTTTTATAATGGATCACTTGAAAAACAACCGCAACTGCATACAAAAGCGCTGTACACAAAGACAGATACATTAACATAAAAACTGTAAACACAATAAAACACACAAAAAAAAAAGCCAAGTCTTGGGCCGAGTCCCAAGACAAAGACTAAAATGTGTTTTAAGGCGAGTTTTTAAGATAGACAAAAAGGGGGTTTGCCTAGCGATGAGGATGATGTTTAAAACGTCATAACATAAAAATCGAGTTGCCGCAACCGTTTTCCTTGAGCATGCTATCATGAGATATAAAATGAAAATAAACATTGAATGGCGAAGCAAAGAGAACAAAATCCGCTTGTTACGTAAAATGAAGGCATAAAAGGAATTTATACTTCACTGCTGTCGACAACTGATTCCATTTGCGTGCAGCATAACAGCTAAATGCCGCTTCACCGTGTTTGCTCCACCAACCGACGCGATTTTGCGGCCCTCGGAACTTTCGCATCTTTATATTCCCTCGAGTGAGAGACGCGAATCACTGCAAGTACATTCAGTTGCCTTTAACATCGAAGTTCAATTTTATTTAATCTTTAAGGAGGCTTCATTTTGAAACGGTAATTTTTGGAGATTTTTCTTTAACTTTTATGTGTAATACATCATTACATCAGGTTTTTTTTTGTTTGAAAATCCCGATAATATAGGGATGTTAAACTAATTTTTGTTGAATGACGAGTACGCTGCATACACACGTATCGACACATAAACAGATAGGGTAGCGGTCCCTCTTAGCCAATGGGATGCCAGGAAGATGCTAGGGAAGAGCCAATGGCAGAGCAGCAAGAAGTATGTTGCGTTCAGGAAAGTCGGAGCTGCGAGTGTCAAGCCATTTTGTAATTTTTACCTTTCATATTTTGAAATTTCTTTCGTAACAAGAGGCAATATTTTCCTGTTGAGGCGTTTCGTAACTTGAAAATTTCATATGAAGAGACGTTCGTAAGTAGAGGTATACCATAAGCAGAGGTACCACTGTATGCATTTTTCTGAACAAGTGCTCAAGTGAATGCTGTTCATAACGCCTACTTGGAGTAAAAAGTGTAAGAACCACTGGGTTTTTTTGTTTGTTCTTTTTTTTGTAGGTGGTTTGAGGGCTTTAACTGGGAGGGCTTGAAGAAGGGGACACTGACACCTCCTATCATCCCCAATGTAAGTCTACAGGTTCGGCTCTACATTTGTGGAGTAGTCTAACACCGCCGTGCACTCGTCTCCCTCGTCAGGTCACATCAGCAGTTGACACGAGTAACTTCGACAGCTTCCCAGAGGACAACGAGGACCCGCCGCCCGACGACAACTCCGGTTGGGACGTTGATTTCTGAAGCTCTCCTTCCAGCACCCCGTGGAACCAAAAGAAACTCTTCTTTTGTTGTTATGGAGGCCATGCAGCGGCCGTGGATACCCGGTAAAAGAAACAAAAAAAGCAGATATGATGGAGAAGAAGTCGATTTTAACGGAGGGATGGCAAGCCCTACTTGGGTCACCGATATGCCTTTATTTCACTGCGGCCCCGGGTCAAGCATTTATAGTGGGACAGCTGTAGCACATGTTCGGTGTTGTCTTACACTCGGCTCTAAGGCGGAGGAAGTGCAGGGATACACACGCGCGAGCGCGCGCACAAAAAACATGGCCGGTGACGCAGCCCGGCGTTCCCACGTGACGAGCCGGCGAATGTTGCTGGGGTTTTTTTTGTTGTTGTTATTGTTTATTTTTAGGATAAATAAGCGTGTGGAAATGTGAAATGTTGTGTTCTGATCATCGCTTCTCCCGTTGTACAACAAGTGCTCTCGACTAACCTGAATGTCACCAATTGCCACATTACATAGTATTGAGCATTTTAAAGGAGACATATTATGCAAGTTTTTTTTTTTTTCCCTCGATTAAAAAAATTCCCAGGTGTCTTAATGGAAAAAAAAAAAAGAAATACAGCACGCTTGATATCCATCTGTTTAAAAATTGCTCCGTTTTGGGTTACGTCGTTTGCAGGGCGACCAGGGTCAGAGTTCGGACATTCCGACGAGGGCTGAAACGGATTGTCGAGTATTTCAAATTCCTTGGTTAAAAAAAAAATACTCGAGACATTTTTTCTGCCTTGAGTACCCGCTTATTTACATGTACACTGTCAGGATGAAGAAGTCTAGCTAACCGCAGCAACAATTGTTCATGCTGTACATGACAGGAACACGCTATAAGAAGGCCAACTTCAAGCCTTCAACCTTACGGGACCAAGTAATGGACTCAATGCCTTAGAGCGCTTTTATGTTGGAGTTATTACACAGTAACTGATCACCAGTCCGATCAAAAGATGGACCAATCTATTGCAACAACTTGCCTATTTACTGCACAGGTAATACACAAACACACCCAAATTAGCCGAAAAGGCCATATCTCCACCATAAAAAGCAAATATCCACAAAGACCATATTGGATTTTCACTTGTGGGAGCAGCACTTCATCAACCAAGCCACCGAACGACACTTTGCCAATTAGCATAGCAGCTCCTGTAACGGACACATCCAAAGAGAAATACCGCCCCCCCAAGTCGACAAGATAGCAATAAGTATGCTCTGATTTTCAGAAGCTAACACTGTTAGCTAATGCTAATCTATTCTGTGCGAAGACTGCAGTTCTGCTTACCCTTTGGCTTAGACATGATACGCTTCTCTGTCAGAGTTCACTTTGCCCCTACGAACCCAATTTCAACAGCATCAGTGCCCGTTTAATGAAATGACGCCTCTGTGTATGTGGAGGTGGTTTGGGGGAAGCGGCAGTAAAACAGGCCAAAATTCCAGATGCAGGGCAAGAGACTTGTGTGGTTCAACCGAATGGGAAAGTTAAGAAATAAGTCTTAAATCAAGATTTAACACGTTCTATGGAGGTAACCACTCTAATTTAATGATCAGGCCTATTTGCGAAGACTGGGGTTGTGGAGTATTGGTATACAGGAATTAAAAAGTCCAGTTTCCATAATACGTCCCCTTTAAAGTATATTGTGAACACACGCACACACAAACACACACACACACACACACACACACACACACACACACACACAAAAGCACATAGGCGTGTGCAGTCAAAGAAAGGAGACTCTCCAAGTGCCCTGTTTCAGATGTCAACTATCACACAGCTGACACGGGAAATAATATTTTCAAGAAGTAATGTGTTGTCCATGATGGACTCAGAACACCTTTAATTTTCCCGTTAAATAAATCATGAAGTATTGTTTGGAGCTCCATCACGCCTGTACAGCTCGAACTGTGAAATCGCTGTCAATGTCTTTGGTGCTGTTCTTGATTCATGACCACAAAAAAAAAAAAAAAAAGAGACGGTGATAGGACAGTACGATTTGGTGGGATTTTTTTTGTGAAGTGATTTCTCTCCTTTTCCCGTGCTTGGTTTCTGTTACTACTACTATTTGATATGAATGGCGGCGTCTATTTTGTGCAAAGATTTTTTTTTGGGGGGGTGTATTTTCTCCCGTCACACCTGCATGACTTTCAAACAATCTTAAAGGCATCACCTGTCACGTCCCAACAATCAAGAGCATAAAATGTAAGTGCCTTAAATCAACGGCATACAAAACATCATCACAAGGCCTTTTTGATGCTGCATGAACACACACAACTGAAAAGTGCGCCTCGTCCTCAAGATCATTTCTTCTCAGATAGGAATTCAAAATCCATCGCATACGACTGCAATGACATGCTTCTCGCGTCAGTACGAAATCACACACATCACGGAAGGCAGGAATGATTTGCGGTTGTCCACTTTTGTTTTTGTATTTGCGTCATGTGTCATACAGTTCTTACATGACACCACGTTGAGGGAAGAAATCAAATGGCAGACTGAAAGAGGCACATGTATTTATTATTATGATTATGAAGGTCGGGTTCAGCTTTCACACTCATTTATTAATGCTTTGAAAGGTCCCGTGTTAAACTGATCAAGTGGAATACAACAGCTGTGCCATTTGATCCCAACATAGATAAGAGGTTTATTTATTAGGAGTTATTTTAAGTTATATACTTCATTCAAAGTTTTTTTTTAATTAACTAAAAAATTTAAAAGTGAATGGATTCATATCATATTTGGACCATCTTCATGTTGCCGGATATTTGCCTTGTGTTGTTTTTGTTTTGTTTCATTGCTGTAAATTAATTTTGCAAAGTGCCACATATATGACTTTTGGAATTATAGACTTAAAAAAAAGTCAGTGTTGGTGTTTTTATTCATTAAACCGACGTTCCCGCACCAAATGGCAGTCATGTAAGCAAGTGGCGAAACGTTCTTAATGTTGAGACTGAATCAGTTTAGCAACTTTTATACTGTTGTGGTCAACATATTTTAATGTTGAAAAGTAGAGAAAGATCATGTTTGAGCAATGAAAAAAAAATTAATTATATATACACCGCTGTATTATTTGTTGTTTATATTTATGTTCTAGATATACAAAATATTGTCTTCTTCCTTTTGATTTACATGACGCATCTAATACTTGTGTTTTTATCAAATTAAAAATAAATACATTCATTATTATTTAACGAAATATATTTATAATAATTCGATTGAAAATTTCCAAAAATTACAAAAAAAGCAACATTTCATTGTCAATGTTTTTTTTTAATGGGAATGCCAGTGGCAGCATTAAGTTGATATACTTGCTAGTGATCTCAAAATATAATATAAAATTTTTAAAAAACAATTGATTAAAAATGTATAAATTGAATAACATTATATATGATATATTTATAATAATTCGATTGAAAATTTCCAAAAATTACAAAAAAGAAACATTTCATTGTTAATGTTTTTTTTAATGGGAATGCCAGTGGCAGCATTAAGTTGATATACTTGCTAGTGATCTCAAAATATAATATACATTTTTTAAAAAACAATTGATTAAAAATGTAAAAATTGAATGACATTATATATTACTCTTGAAACGTCAGTAAAATATCGAAAGTAAATATTTTTTTGTGGCGACAACTTGACGAGTGGCCGCATGAGGGCGCCGCAGGTAAAGTGACAGCCGTTTCCCACTGACATAAAGCCTCCAATGAGCCGGCTCATGAATGACAAGATCCACAGACAACCACGACCCATCTTATTTCTTCCTATCTTAAAACTGCACTCCCCAGATCCAATACTAGTGACTTATCGGTAAATCTATGAGTCATACTCCTCGAGTTAAGCAATTATTCGATTTAAATGTGTAATTTTGTATAGGCTACAACAGGTTGACACGTTCTGGAGATCAAAGGGCCAAGATGGCGCTTCAAAGGGGCTCGCCACGTAAAAAAAAAAAGTCGAGATAAAAGCTTCAGTTCAAAAGCGACAATGCCATTAAACTAATCTAAGGTGTGTTCGTGAGGTTTTGTCAAGTGTTTGGAACTAATTTAGAACTCATCTTCCAAGTTTATCGGCCACCTCAACGACGTCGCACTGTCCCAATATGGCGTCATGTTACACGTATTGACACATCAACACGCGAAGAAGAAAAAGCTTAAGATAAACGCTGCAATGAATTATCAAGGCTCACAAAGGAATTTCCCGTCCAATACACCCACTTTTTGTCTCTTTCGGAGGCTTGAAGCACAGCTCGGGCTTGGATTCGGCAAGCCAGAACGCAAACACGGGTCCCCGAAGGGGTTGGAGGGGGTTGTCCTTTCATCTCCAAAGTGCCAGTCAAGCCTGGAAGGACTCGCCACGGAAGTCTATTAATTCGGTCAACTTTTCACACCCCTTAATGGTCTTCGTGCATATCCTACACATTCATGTCCGTCCCTTGGTGTCACTGGGGGTGGAGGGGATAATTGCCTTCCCCTCCTTTCTCAAATAAGGGGATCAAATGAAGAGTTAATCGACGCGAGTGACTTCAATCACCCTTAGAAGACGCTTGAATGTCAAAGAACATGATGGAATTAGCTCCTACAAAGACGCCAAACATTTGTTTTTCTCGACAGAGGATGAAATAAAATGTAGAATGATGCGGAAAAGTTGCAAAGATGACTACAAAATGCACACAACACTACAAAAAAAGGGCAATATTTACTCTGTGATCATAATCAGTTGATTTCAGACTAGTGGTTTCGCAACCTTTATCGATTGAAAACGATGCAGTAATTAGATGTTTTATGACTAAAAAGTAGATTTTTTATTATAAAAACAAAAACTACTGGAATAATGATTACATTAAAATGTATTTCTCTTAAAAGTGCAAATTAAACAATGAAAATGTGTACTTAAATGTATGAAAATGAATGATTGTAGACTAATGCAAATATGACAGCACTTAAAAGTTCAATACAATGGAAATGCAATGCAAAAAATACTCGAGTAAAAAAAATTTAGTGGATTAAAAAAACCGTTTGAAATGTACTGCATTTCAAAGTCAAATGTCGTTTGTTCTTAAATGATAAAAAAAACTAGAATTCTTAAAAATGAAATGCAAGTCTATTGTTTTGTTACCTACAACTGAACTGCACTTAAATTGTGCTCTTCGAAAAAAACAAAACAAAACAATGTCCTGCACATATAAAGCACAAAAAATGCAATATACTAAAAAAAAACAAACAAAAAAAAAAAAAACGAAAAACAATTTCAAACAGGCTGTTTGCATCAGTTACAAGCATATTTCCAGTATGCTTTATCTTATTTCAGGGTTTAAATGTCGCAGATTTGATTTATATTTAATTTAGTAATTGTTATTCATACCACTAGAGGGAGCCGTGTGCCACTTCTTGTCAACATTCCACTCTTGTCCGGACTGTTTTCTCTTTTATTTTTTTTTTGCGTGTTATTTTACCATCACCATAAAGATCTAAATGTTTGAAGTTGTCTGATGGCCTAACTTTAATCCTTCCCCATTTACCTCATTAATAATGCACTAAAATATTTACCATGAAATTCTGATTTGGCAATCATATATTTTATGACCAAAAAAAATAAAACACCATTTTTTTAGCAGATTATTTTTTATTGTGTATATGCACTAAAATATTTACCATGAAATTCTGATTTGGCAATCATATATTTTATGGCCCAAAAAAAACAACACAATTTTTTTTAGCAGATTATTTTTTACTGTGTATTTTTTTTTTTTTGTTAGCACATCAGGTGTACACGATTACACTTGTTGCTGAACTTAACCTAGATAGGTACGTGTACAGTCTCTCTATAAGCACATCTGTCAAAAGAGTTTTACGGCTATATTTTTTTACATGTGGTTACATTCAAAGTGTCCCACAAATCCAAATCGCGTAAACTCCGCGACTCCTTTCGATGATTTCCATTGGCCACCGTTGGCATGTCAAGTTTCTTGTTGACTTGGATGTCTGCTGCTGCCTAACTGCTGCTGGAGACTTTCAAAACTCCCCCTCTTCGTCTCTTCAGCCTGACCGTATTTGCGCACTGGACGTTCCACTCATCAGACAGACTTAACAGGTCGTTATCATTAACCAAACACGGAGTCTGAACAGATGAGCGTTTTCCGTGCACCGTCTTTGAAATTCCACCCTTCGCCTTTGTTTGTGCCCTGCGAGGGGGCGGGAAGACAAACAGGTCCGCGCGTATAAAAGCATCAAACAGGCACTTGGGGCGACACTGGAGACGTGCCTACACAGAGACTCTCTTCTGGAACACTTTCTAGAGGGGATTCCTCGGCCGATTTTTGGGGGACGTCTTGTTTTTGCTCTCACCACCACCACCACCACCACCAACAACAACAACAAAAAAAGGATCCATCCAGTCATGTTGATGCGATGCGTCGCGCGTTGTTTCCTGCCGGTGTGGCTCTCGCTACTTGGATACGTTTACGCGGGGCCGATTGTCCTCAACTCCAACGCCATCAAAAACTTTGAGCCGGTCAGCCCCAGTCCGCGGACCTCACCGCCGGGCAGCGTGGGACACAAATTGCCCGTGGACGCCTCGCAGGTATGCCGCTTTTTTTTTTTTTTTTGCTTGTGTGTCTCTCCATGCATAAAAGTTACCGTGCGTAAAAAAAACAAAACAAAACAAAAACGTTCCACTGCGTAAAAGTTAGCGTGCATACAAGTCGTCCGTTTGTCGTGTTATTTAATGGCTGCCCCGTTGCCCCCCCTCACCCAGGCGACAGGAGTATGTGCGGATGACGACGATTGCGGCGGTGATGAATTCTGCAACGACGTCCGAAGTATGTGTCTGGCGTGCCGCAAGAACCGGAAGCGTTGCGCACGGGACTCAATGTGTTGCGCTGGAAGCCGCTGCAGCAACGGTAAAAGCGAACTCTGCCATTCACCCCCCCCCACCCCCCTTTTATTGGACAAGTGTAAATTCACACTCTCCTGTCCTCTCCAGGTGTCTGCCAGACGAATGACATTGATGGGCCGGGCTGGCATATACACAACTCTACCATGGAGCATCATACCAAGAGGCCCCTCACTGCCCACGAAGCGCGCACGGTAAAAGGTAACTATCAAAAAACAAGAAAAATAAAAGAATTGGATCTCTCTTGGTCCACTGTTGGGGTTTTGTCTTACCTGTGCTTTAGTTTTAAAAGTTTTAAAAATTCCCTCTGTGGTCAGATTATTTTTTTTTTTCATACACTAATCCCCTGCTATTCACTGACAAACTCACCTATTTGCTGTTTTGCTCAGGCCATCACCGTGTCTAATGTAGAAGTAGTGCTTTGGTGGCATTTTTGGGGTGTGTGTTAAAACGTGGTTTTAAAAATACTCTGTAGTTGTTGCCCCACCTACTTGCGACCCATCGATTCACTTAGTTGCAGATGTTTTTTTACAAACCTTGCCGTTATCTGCTGAAAAGCTCGCCAATTTGCTGTTTTGGTGCAGCAACCTGCCAAATATTTAAGTAGTGCTGTGACACCATCGAGAGGCAATTGTCAACCTTTTTTTGCGGGGGTGTAAATTACTTTCAGATTTTTGCCATTTGCTGCGGCTTGACTAGAGTGAAGCCCTCTATTAGCAGTTCATTATTCATAAACTTGTGGATTTTATTTTAGAGCCTCTGTAATTTGCAGTAAAATTCACCTCTTAGCAGTTTCGGTGGTCAGGCCAGCTAATGAAGAGAACAGTATTGCTTTGGCACCATCTGTAGTATCGCCTCTGCAGCAACCATTAATGAACCGATAATTATTTGGGACAATCGATTCATTTCGAAACCTTTTTTTAAATATAAAATTGTCCAAAGCCTCGGAATTTCAGCGGCAGCTCTTGGTATTGTTTATATAGAATATATATTGAGTTGACATTCACTAACTGTTTTAGAACACGATCCTTCATTATTCGTTGATGCCCTCTACCGTAAAATGATTGCTTTGAGCGGCACCTTTTGGTATCTTGGTGTCAAAAGAACTATATTGAAGTGAGTGGAGGAGCTTCACTGAGCCATAGGTAGTCCTCTACTAGCATGATGTGGCATGTCCTATTACAAAGCCTATTAGGGGGTGCCAATTACTTGCTCTGTGTAATTTAACCTGCATTTTTTTGTAAAAACAAAAAACCAAAAAAAAAAACCCTCACTTTTGCTGTTTTTGTTTACGCTCATGCCAAAGCCTTGTCGGACATAAAAGTATTGCTTTGGCGCCGTCTTCTGAACCTCACGAGGGTCGCTGGCATGCTGGAGCCTATTCCAACTGTCTTTGGGCAGTAGGCGAAGGACACCCTGAACCGGTTGCCGGCCAATCGCAAGGCACACAGAGACAATCAACCATTTGCGCTGCACAATCACACCCGGGGACAATTTGGAGTGCGCTGTCTTCTAACATCTGTCGAAAATGTTAAATAACTGGCGGGTTTATGCTATTTTTTTCCCCATGATCATCTGACCTCTTTTGTTTTCTATCCAAGGTCAGGAAGGGGACACGTGCCTGCGCTCGGCCGACTGCTCGGCGGGCCTGTGCTGTGCCCGCCACTTCTGGTCTCGCATCTGCAAGCCGGTGCTGAGCGAGGGCCAGGTGTGCACGCGCCACCGCCGCAAGGGCACCCACGGCCTGGAGCTGTTCCAGCGCTGCGACTGCGGCGACGGCCTGGCGTGCAGGCCCGAGAGAAGCGAGCGGGAGCGGGAGCAGCAGCAGCAGCAGCAGCAGGAACAGCAGCAGCAGCAGCACGCCGTCAGCAGGACGTCGGCCCGGAACCTACACACCTGTCAGAGACGCTGACGCACACACAGGTCACAGATACTGACACACACACACACACACACACACACACACACACACACACACACACACACACACACACACACACACACACGCACACGCACACACACGCATATGCCAACACCCAAGACTTTCTTTCCTGTCAACGCTGCTGACACCGAGACAGCGCCAGGAAGCAAAGATGCGCTTCCTGGGAAAAGTGATACACCCGCAGAGATGATGGACTTGTCTATGAATGGATGAGAGGGGATGTAGAGGGGGGGGGGCGGGGGTGTCCAGATCAATTGTCCATGGCAGTTAATGGCAGAGCTGTTTTTTTTGTTTCTGTTTTTATGGAACTTGAAGCCTCGGTTATTGCAGTAAATTACTGCATTGTGAATGATGGCTGGGGAACCGACCAGGGAATTTGAGTACAACAAACAGTTAACACACAAATGGTCATAATATATATGAAAACAGCGATCCCGCGGCGCATAACTATGCAGACCCACTTGGAAAAGGTGGAAATGTTTGTTTTGAGAAATCACACGGGTCAACAGCAAAATTTTAATCTGCGATAGCTTCATGAGTCACGAAATGTATTTTTGACGATGATTGAAAAGAAATGTCTTGACTTTTTCACAACACATCATCCAGAAAAGTTTACTTGCATCGTTGATTAAAAAGTGTGGTTAACAAAATTGTTGAACAGTGTAATTTCACCCCTGCCTTAAAACACCTTCGAACTTATTAAAGCAAAATTTTTTTCAAAGTGTACCTTAGAGCCTGTTTTCACTCTCGCAGCCTATCGTATAACATCACTTTGAGGAAAAGTGACTCCCGGATGAAATGCTCAGCGCGTTTGCTTCACGCTGATTATTTGTCATTCCCAGTTGAAGTTTACCTTCAAACTCGACATTGTATATTCAAACAACAAACCATATAGATTCATCTCACGAGTTCGATCAATGCTAACATACATGCAAAACGGCGTCGTGAAATTAGCGTCAATGTTGCAATAATATTACCTTTCAAACAACTATGCTGCTACTTTGACACAAATGGAGCAGCAAACGCAAACAAGCCCGAGCATTATTCTTTGTCGTATGATAGAAGGTTCGCCTCTGTCATTCGGAGTTTGTTTTGTAAGAGCTCGTCAAAAAATGAGCGTTTTAAAAATCCAGAATAATATGGGGGGGGGGGGATACACTGTAACGTTTTGATCATGAGTTCTGCATGGACTAAACTGACACTTGGCTATCCGAAAAAAGGTTCCTCAGCCTGGTTGTAAATTCTCTGTGGGGGGGCACTTCATTGAGCGATGGCGTCAACACCAGTAGGAGAACAACACGGTGCCGCATGCAGTGTAAATATGTTTCATATTGTTTTGTAAGAAAACCTGATCTATATTGAGAATGTGAACGTTTTATTAAACACTCCTCTTAATAAACTCACTTGTTGCTGACTTATTTCTTGACATTGAGGCGCCAACATTGTTCGGCGGCGGTGGTGGTGGTGGTGGGGGCAAACAATTACCGGCGTTGTTGTTTAACACGTCGCGCCATTTCTCACAAATCAGCGGGTTGGGAGCCAGTGGATGGTTGGAATACTTTGGCTGTGCGCGCCACACCAATTCATTACCCGCAAATCACTGAGATATGCACAGAGAGAGAGAGAGAGAGAGAGAAAAAAAAAAAAGCGTCTTTTAATGAGGCATTGGAGCAGCCCCGAGCCAGCGTGCCACATCCTGCTATGGAGGAGGAGGCGGAGGAGGACATGTTATTAGATGGACATTAAAAACAAGACAGGGTGCTGACATATCAAATGGTAAGAGCAGAGAGGTAATAACAACGTGTCGGCCACGTCTTGGTGAGAGCAACTCTTTGGTGTCGCCGGCAAGGTTATAATTAGAAGCTCCCTGAAAGCGTCACGCGCGGCAGCAGTGCGTAAAGATCCAACAAATGGTGATTTTTTTCTTTTTTTTTTGTTGTTGCTTTGACGTCATTTGGCGCGCGCAGTTTCCTGGCACGAGTCTGCCCAGCGTGTCGATGGATGTGCGCTAACCTCCCAAACACACCTTGGTGCCTGTAATTAGGACGCTTTCAATTAGAAGATCGCCTGAAAACGACCGCGCTTTTATTCTTCTTCTTTATGTCTGTCACATGATGAAAAGAGGCAAAGACATTAAAAGCGTCTTCATCTGGTTACGGCCACAGAAGTGGTGTCGTGTCGCCGGCCACTTTGAAAACTTCACAGTACAGGCTTACACTTTGATGTGGATTGAAATGAGGCTAGTTTGCTACGATTGTATTGAAATGTGCAGCTCCTGATCAATAGCCGCCGCTATCACATTATTGGCAATTTGCTCATGGGTCATTATTTCATGGTTGGATGATATTTACAAGGGCTAAACTAGATAATTTCTTTTTTATGTTTTCTGACTCTCTCTTGAACTTTTAAACTGTGCTTAACGATTATTGTTGATGTATTTCTCTTTTTTAAGATCTTTTTTTTTTGTAGTACCTGTATAAAATTCTATGTACAGAAGTGTGGAACAGCCAATGTGGAGTAAAACATTTATGACTGGACGACGTCACCCGAATGCGATAAACAGCCAGCTGCAAACCTGAGCGCACAACAGCGAATTCTTTTACTTCTGCTTTTAGTCACGGACGCCCACGTCACTCACCAGACAAGGCCCCGCCCTTTAAAGCTGTACACACTCAAAAGACGCAGATAATTCAGTGTCGAGCAGGGGCCTGATAATGGTCCTGATTCAAATGATCAGGGCCATTAATCAGGCGTCTGCAGAGCTCACTGATCAGCCGGTCATTTTGATCAGGTGTGTTGCAGCAGGGAGAGACAAAAAACAAGCAGGAAAACGGCCCTCGAGGACCGGAGTTTGAGACCCCTGCATGATTATTGTCTGTCATTATCTGTGACTTTTGAGTGTGTATAGCTTTAAAAGGCGGGGCCTTGCCTGGTGAGTGACGTGGGCGTCTGTGACTAAATGTAGAAGTAAAAGGATCAGTGTGGCGACCCCAAGTGGACAATAATAATCCTTAAAACTCACATGCACGTTTTGCTGTTCAGTCACGTAAAATCCATTTTTATTCAATCGCTTGATTAGTCAATGGGATTATTGGTGGAAGAATTGAGTCCTATGTGAGACTTGCGAGTAAGTACCACTGTAATGGTGTGTGCGCCGATATATCGAGAGGCACGCAAGAGACACACGCCATTTTAAACAATTTCTGCTGAGTAATTAAAAGTAATGGGGAGCTTTGTCAGCACTACAATATACCATGCAGCCCGAGGCCAAGTCATGTTTGTGGGGGTCCTGGAAGCTATGTGTGTGGTGTGTGTGTTTGTGTGTGTGTGTGTGTATGTGTGTGCGTGCGCGCATGTGTGTATGTGTGAGTGTGTCATCATTACACCAACCTCAGACTAGCACAAGCCACAGGCATGTAGCCCGTGCCAAAAAAGCCAAGTGTGTTTTAGTCGTCTGTGTGTGTGTGTGTGAGATGCTGCGTTTAGTGGGAGAGTCAACAGTAAAAAGAACAACAAGCAGCACACTCGCATAAATCGTGTGCCCACTGCTTGTTATGACACATTTAGACACGGTCACGCTCCAATCGTGGGGAGAGGGAGTGCAGCGGACCCCCGCGTTGGCATCCTGAGCCAGCACGGGCATGACTCAGCATTACGACCCAAATGCAATTCTTATGCTGCAGTCGAGTGATCGTATTGACGACGGCCGGCTGGCTCCAACGGGAAGTGGACCGCACCTCGACAAGATGTGTCTTTCAAAACGAAGCTCATTTGAAAGGGGGAAGTCAACCTAAAAAAAAAATTCTTTACAAGAATGTGTTCTAGGCAGCCCCACTCGTCTAATCACGGCAATCTGATGAATGTTGCGTTTTTTTTTTTTTGGTTTTTTTTTGTCCATCTTCATGGACGGCCATTTTTTGGCACTTAGTGTCGACTGAAAATGCCAACAAAAGTTGCTCAGGGCTCAGCTTAAAAAAAACAAAACAAAAAAAAAAACAGGTGAGCCGCATGGGTGAATGCTATTGTCAGCCTCCGCAAGAACCCGAAACCTAAAAATAAGGCTGGTGTAGGGCTGATTGTGATACCGATACCGTTAGCGATAATAAATTATCCGTCGGTGTCAATGTCAATGTTAATAGTTCGTTGTCTATCGTGTATATGTCCAAAGCCATCTGGGATAGGCTCCAGCTCTCCGCCACCCTAATGAGGAGGACAAGCGCTATAGAAAATGCATGGCTGGATAATTCAAACTGCTCCTAATAAGCGAGATAAAAACACCATCGTGCACAAAACCCCCACAATTATCCCACATAAAACCTGTCAGCCGTCCCTAACCATGCGTTTTATTTGCTTGCGATGATTAAGACCTGTCTGGTTGATGCAATGTATAATGCACTGCGATAACACTTAATTGGGCTATAAAAGCCCACGGCACTCCTGTTTGCCTTTCAGCCGTTGTTTACAATATTCCTTTGCTTCGAGTGCCTGGAATATCTGCCCTTGTTATTGCAAGTCTTCCAGCCCAGCGTCCTGATGGACATCCTGAAACGCGAACAAAACCACAGAGGCGCTTGTGTGCCATTGCGTCAGATGAAAGGACGGCCAGCGTATCCCGAAAGCCAGCCGGCTCTTGTGTAAACAAACATTCACGAGAAGGTGTCAAAACTTCCAAGTGTTGGCATCAATCGCTTCCCAGAAGGGGTTGGGCACAATGCTCGCTATTCATCTTTGTGAGATGACGACTATCTACCTGATTGAGCAACGCTCTGATAACAAAAGCGCCGCTCGTTCAGCACAATAAGGCGAGTGTGTAAGTGAGTGTCGGGTGGCTTTGTGATGTAACCTGGGTGTGAAATAAGAAGACAAGTCAAGGGTTGATTATGGTGGAGCTCAAAGTTTGAGGGTGGGGGGGGGGGGATTGGCGAGAACGACTTGCTGCATGTGATCAGATAACAATGGTGTTTGTTTTTTGACTTGCTCAAGTAGAATGTGGCCAATTCCTGGACACAATATTGTCTTTAATTGAGAACACATAGGAAGGCATGTAGAGCCCGACCGATATGGATTTTCGAAAAGGCCGATGACAATTCCAATATCTGGTCGAATAAAGTGAATGAAATAACTTATACTTTGGTCCATTAGCGCAGTGGTGGTGCTCACCATTTTTTGCAGCAGAAAATATCAGCGCCTAGTGTATGTTACCACCGAGTTGGTAATCTTTATCAGTGAATGCATGATTTAGGATTGTTTTAAATTCTTTTACATTACATTTGTTAATGTCATTGCGGTAGGGTGCTGTTATCCTATCCCACGACATTTTTTGTTGTTTTGTGGCGGGCTGGAACGGATTAATGGCATTTCCATTCATTATAATGGGGAAAGATGATTTAAGATACAAGTATTGTCAGTTAAGAGCAGGGGCACGGAACAACGTAACCTCGACTGTCTCCCTGTGAGTAGCAATACAGATTTAGTGGAATTAAATGACACACTCCCGAAAAACATTTAAAATGGCCGATAGATGCTACAAAATGGCAGCAAAGCACAACTTACTCGATCTATATTAAGCTCAACTTACCCCAACATTGTTGATGAACACCAAGATGCTCCGACAGGGCTTCAAAGCACTACTTTGCTCAAAGTGAAGCTCCTCAACTCACTTCAACGTCGTTCAACGGCACCAAAAATGCCACAAGATGGCGGTAAAGCACGACTTGTCTCAATGAAAGCCCCTCAACGTATCGTACCTCGGCACCAAGGTGCCACAAGTTGGTGGCAAAACACTGCTTTTGTCAAAATGACGCTCCTCAACTCACTTCAACCACGTTCCTGAGTCTCAGGATAGCCCAGCAAAGCAATAATATGTTTGCTCTGGCTTGTGCACATGTACATTCAACAATACGATCAACGTACAATCAATTACATCAATATCCTTATCGATCGGCTGACTGGTTCGATCCATCGCGGCATTCTTAGCAGCTGCGCCCATGTGGTCTCCACGCCCTCCGCGATGATGTCATAAGCCACAGGAGTCCCCACCAACCCACATGAAGAAGCTCCCTCTGACTTCACCCGAGCGGCGACCGCGCCGGGCCCCAAACAGAGACAATTCTCTCGTGCCGCTTGCCCGTTACAGTAACACGACATGAAAGGCGGAGTATGGAGTCATACCGCAAAACACGTGCTGTTTTGAAAACGCTCGCTTGCGCTCTGGATTCGTGTTTATCCGACGAAAGCCCAATCCGAGGGTGGTGAAAATACCCGCACGCTGTAACTGAAGTAGATGTTGAGAAACTTCGTGGTTGAAGCAGAAGAGCTGATTCAAATACACATGACATGTTTGATAACTTGGCACATTTCCTCTCTCTGGAGAGCGTTCTCCATCCCCGCTGTCGAAAATAAGCCGGCGGCTCCTGCGGGTGAGGAGGACAAAACAAGTTGATGTCATAAATAGCTGTACGGAGACGATCGCAAGAACGCCCGGTGGCGGAGGAGCCACTTCGAAAGAGACAGACTGGGAGCCAAACCGACATCACCGGGGTTGTTCGAGACATTTTCTCACAGGTATGTCGAAAATGTTCGGTTGGGTTGTCTTGGGGTTGCCTTCTTTTCACCGTCAA